TGTCACATCAAGTGTGATACATTGCATTCCATTCCATGTCAGTTTCTCACATTTTGTCACATCAAGTGTGACACATTGCATTCCATTCCATGTCAGTTTCTCACATTCTGTCACATTATGGGATGTGATTACATCATTACACTACATGTGAAGTGCTCATATTATATCCCAGACATGACATAGTGCGTGAGGTGATCCCATTAACATCATCTTGTTGTTGTGTGGCATCAAGTCAGCACCAACTGCTAGTGACCCTATACACAACAGAATGAAACACTGCGCCATCCTGGGACAACCTCACAAATGTTGCTACGTTTGAGCCCATCGATGCTGCCACTTTGCCAATCCATCTCGTCGGGGGCCTTCCTCTTTTTCTCTGACCCTCCACCTTAGCAAACATGATGTCCTTCTCCAGTGACTGGTCCCTCCTGACAATATGTCCAAAGTATGAAAGATGAAGTCTGATCATCCTGGCTTCTAAGGAGCTCTCTGGCTGTACTTCTTCCAACACAGATCTGTTGGTTCTTTTGGCAGCTCACGGTACTTTCAATATTTTCTTCCAACACCATAACTCAAATGCATCAATTCTTTTACAGTTTTCCTAATTCACTATCGAACTTTCATATGCATATCAGGTTATTGAAAATATCATGGTTTGGGTCAAGCGCACTTTAGCCCTCAAACTGACATCTTTGCCCTTGAACACTTTAAACAGGTCTTGTTTAGCAGATATACATCACCTTAGAGAACAGAAAACCACTTTTTGGACAAATCGCTTAGCATCACTGCCTGGCAACTTGCCAATTACAATAAACCATGATAATCAGCACATGGGATGTGGGATGGAGCAAGGAAATGAGGAGACGCAGGGTTGTTGCTCCCTGAGCCAGCAGAGCAAGTCTCCCTGCCTGCCAGTGGACTGGCCTGCCTCTGTGACCACTGCTGGACACAGGCGAGCGGAAAGCCGCCAAATGAAGGCCACTGGAGAGGCTTGGATCTTGAAAACCCCTGGAGCCACCCTGTGGCCCCACATGGCCCTGGGGGTGAGGCCCATCGGGGATCCTGCTGGCATCTGTCGCCTCTCAGACATAGCCCTCAGCTGTCAGCTGACCCATGGGGAGGGCTTTCCCCAGCCGACCCCCCTGTTCTCTTTGGGTTTAGCTAGTTTCAGGTACCTATCCTGAGGGCCCGCTGGGAAACATCTCTGGCATCACGAGCCTGCAAGCCCGGGCGGTCCCTGGACACAGCCTCTTCCTTATCCCTGTCTCCTAGAGTGTGACCAGGACAGGAGTCTGAGGCCCTGGCAGGTAGCAGTGTCCATAGCGCTGGGGATGCTCCTGGCGTTCCTGCTCGTCGGGCTGCTCTGCAGGAGGTAATACGCAGAGACAGGCAGCGGTGGGCAGTCTGGGGCCAGGGGGCCGGTGGAATAGGGGAGGGACGGATGGAATAGGGGAGGGGCCTGCTGCTATAGGGGCGGGGCCTAGAACACAACAACAACAAATAAAGAGGGAGGGGCTATTGCAATATTGGTGTTAAATGCTGTGGAGTGGGTTCCCACTCATAGCGACCCTACATAGGGTTTCTAAGAAACAGCTGATGAGTTTGAACTACAGACTTTGTGGTTCAAACGAACCTTGCAGTCCAGTGTTTATCCCACAGGGCCACACCAGGGGTCTTATTCGCTATGAGTGGAACCGACTAGACATTGAGCGACACTTAACAACGTATTGTCATGGGGTGGGGAGGAATACAATGTTAAACGTTCTGGAGGCGGTTCTGACACATAGTGAGCCTGCATAGGGTTTCCAAGGAGACACTGAGGGACCGCTGACCTTTGGGGTTAGCAGTCCAGAACTGACCACAGCTCCACAGCAGGACTCCAGAGAGGGGGTTCGTGCAAGAGGGGCCGATTGTACTGCCAAGAGGGTGTCAGGGGGTTCCTTCCAGGGAAAAGTCAGCAGGGTGGGAACAAACCCAGGGTGAGCGGGGGTGAGGTAGAAATTGGGCCCTTCCTTTCCTTTGGGACCAGGCCTCTTGAAGATCCTTCACGAGGGCTGAGGAGGGAAGTTAGGGTTCTGGTATGTATGGAACCGGGGTGGCGTGTAGTTAACAAGTTCCAATGGGTCAGTAGGGACACCCACACCCCTCAATGCTGCCCAGACCCTCATTTCCCCAAAACTCGTGACTGCAGTCCCTTGGCAGCATGCGAGGGTTTTCACGTTTATTCCAAACATTTCCTGATAGTTTAGCACAGCCAGGTAGCGTAGTGATTACAAATCGGACTGTGAACCTCAAGGTCAACAGTTCGAAACTACCAGCTGTTCCGCGGGAGAAAGATGAGGCGTTCTGCTCCCGTAAAGATTTACAGCCTCGGAAACCCTGTACAGGGTCGCTATGGGTCGGAACTGACTCCACGGCCTCACAGCAACCCTGTAGGACAGTGAAGTGCCCCATAGGGTTTGTCTGTAGGGGGACAGACAGACGGCCTTATCCTCCTCCTGTAGAGCAGCGGGTGGACTCGAACCACCAACAATGCGGGTGAGCAGAGCAGAGCTTTAACTGGGTTTCCATCATTCATCTTCCTCCAGGTACTCGGTAATGCAGAAAATCTTCCCCCCGATGCCGTGGAAGAGGGACCCTGTCCAGGACTTCTTACAGAGCGGAAGGCTGGTGAGCACCAAGGTGGGGGGGGGTCCCCACTTCTCTGGGGCTGAGCGAGGAGCTTCCCGCTTCCTTGAATGTATCTGCGGTGGGGAGAGGGGGCCCCACTTCCTGGGTGTTTCTGGGACTGAGTGAGGGGGTCCCCACTTCTTTGGGTGTTTCTGGGGCTAGGTGAGGGGGTCTACACTTCCCTGGGTGTTTCTAGGGTAGGGAGAGGGATCCCCACTTCCCTGGGTGTTTCTAGGGTAAGGGAAGGGATCCCCACTTCTCTGGGTGTTTCTGGGGCTGAGTGAGGGGGTCCCCACTTCTCTGGATGTTTCTGGGGCTGGGTGAGGGAGTCAACACTTCCCTGGGCGTTTCTAGGGTAGGGAGAGGGATCCTCACTTCCTGGGTGTTTCTAGGACTGGATGAGGGGATCTCCACTTATCTGGATGTTTCTGGGGCTGAGTGAGGGGGTCGACACTTCTCTGGGCGTTTTTAGGGTAGGGAGAGGGATCCCCACTTCTCTGGGTGTTTCGGGGGCAGGAAGAGAGGGTCCCTGCTTCCCTGGGTGTCTCTGGGAAGAGAAGGGGCCCTGCCCCAGTTGGTGGGGGAAGAGGGTCCTGTTACCAGGCTGCTGGAGCCTGGGCCAGGGGTTGTGGGTGGGGGCATCTCCACTGCTCTCTTACCTGGGCTGAGTAGTACCCGTGACACCGCCCCCACACACACCCGTCCCACAGGTGAACTGGGAAGCCAGCCCAGCGAGCTGGGAAGACTGCCCCGTGGAGAAGGTACAGGCTGTGGGTGAGACGTAAACTCCAGGCTGTGTATAGGGGCGGCTCACCCCACTGCTGGTCTGGAAGAACCGCCCTGGGAGCATGGGCCTGTAACCGACCCGACTGTCTCCCGCAAGCAAATCTGTGCAGCATCCTCACCCTTGTACCGGGAGCCGATCCCGGAAGTTTCTATTACCCAGCGAGGCCCTATTAGCCTAAGGTGTGTGGTGGGCTCGCTTCCCTGCACTTCGAAGCCTCGGCTCTTCATAGACTGAAGGTTTCCAGTAGTCAGTCTCCAGCAACTCGGCTCTCTCAATTTTCCAACAACACGTGCCCGCTCTGTGCCCCATTTGTCATTCTTACACACCATTAATCCACACTTAATAGAAAACCAAATCTTAAAAACTGTTGTAGACCACGCTGACCCGGTCAGGAGTTCAGGGCCACGTGGGCCCGAGTGTGGCAGACCGTACAGGCCGCAGGCTCTGAGGACCGGACTCTGGCCACCTAGCAGATTTAGCAAACTGTCCCTCATCTGATTGTTTAGTTGTGCTTGTTAATAATTTCATACATGAGCCCTGGATGTCCACAGTGAAATGCAATATTTCCCTAACTTTCTAAGTTCAAGATTTTCCCCCTAGAACCAAGGCAGTACGAACAAGGACAGGTTTACTGGGATTAAGCAGGGAGGCTCTGGAGAGGAACTGCCCAGGGTATATTCACTTGGGGGAATACGGGATTAAGGACAATGGGGGCAGCTCCCTCGGACCACCCTGGGTTCAATCAGTTTGATTCAAGTGAAGGTTAAACCCAGTAAGGAAGAAAGGAATATTGGTTTAAGTAAGGTTTACTGGCTTAATTTATCATAAAAGATTGTCTCTGTGAATCATTAAGCATTGTCTTATCTGAATAATCCCATTCTTCTTCTGTAAAGATCTCTTCCTTAAAAAAGTTAATAAAAGACTGGGGTAGATATAGTTCTGTGCGCATTCTTGGCAGCAGGACTATCTGCCCGTCAGCTTGTACCCACTCTGGTCTCTGAGTGTTTCTTTCTCTCTCACCCCTCCAGACATCCCACCTAGTTAGTTCTGTGTGCAATGTCTGCCACCGAGCAGTCTGTCTGGCAGCTTGCATCAAGCCTGTGTGTGTCTTTGTATCTGTTTTCTCTCTCTCTCTCCCCATCATCGCCAGACACCCCATCTTCAAGTACTCACCCCCTTGCCAAGGCTAGTCCTGGTGAGGTGCTGTGGATTAATGCGCTGGACCACAAGGTCCTCTGAACCGCATTCAGCTGTTCAAGCTCACCAGCTGCTCCTCAGAAACCCTATTCAAGGTCACGGCACTTAAAAATCAACTGGATCCGGACTCAACAATCCTAGAGGGCAGAGTACAAGTGGCCCCTCCCTTGGGGTTTCCTCAGTTTTATTTTAGACCCTGCAATCCCAGGGGCCCTACCAAGACTAGGGTCTAGTGTAAACCTAACATATGCTCTGGGAAAGTCACTTTACTATATTTCATTTATTGTGATGGTGTGGAACCAAACCCCAACACCTCCAAGCTCTGTCAGTATAGTCAGAAAGCAGACGTGGGGAAGGTAGATTCCACATACAGGATGGCAAGAAGCTAAGGAACGGAAGCTGAGAGACAAAGACACTTCCCTAGAGCTGGTTCGCTGAATTCAGACTTGTCTCCTTAACAGAAAATAGAATGCTTAGCGAACTTCGCCCCTTGGGGGTTTTATTATAGGTTTGTTGTCTGTACACATCCTCTCCTGCATCCCCTTCACCAACCCACCTTAAGGGGGAATCCCGCTCAAGTCTCCCCAACTTTAATAGTGAAACCGTCAAGATCAGAACAAGGCAATGCTTTCATTTTCTGGTTCTTGTGAGGTTTTGGCTTCTGAACAGTTTTCTGGTAGAAAACCTTGGAGTTTCCCTACTCCGCGCTGTGTACCCATCTCAGACCTCCTGACATGTTGACCACATACACCCCAGCCTATCACCGGGTTTTCAGAGGGTTGGTTTTTTTCAGATTGCCAGGCCTTGGCTCCAGATGCACTTCCGAGAACTGGTCTCATTTGCGTGAACTTGGGTTACTGGGATCTTTAAGGTAAGCCTACTGCCCCTGACTTGGACTCCCACTTCTGTTGTCTGAGAACTGAGGTCTTCAGGGAACTGGGTTTGGGTGGTGGTGGTTGGTTCTGTTGTGAGCAGAGCTGCCTGTTTTCGGGCATATCCTAATAATAGAACAAGAACCACCTTCAGCCAGATGAACACAAGGCCACCTCAACAGGGAGTCAAAACCCCAAACCAAACTTCTTGTGGTAGATTACAACTCAACAGCAACCCTGTCGGCCAAATAGAATGGCTCATGGGGTGTTCTAGGTGAGGGAGTCAAACAGCTCCCCAAATTCCAGCTGGAACCCCAAGATAAGGAATGGAAGCAGATACTCAGGGAGGAAGTGGGCTCAGGGATGTTTCAACGTGGGGGTGCAATCCTAGGTCAGGAAAGTGAATGCAAATGGTTTAAATAGAACACCAATTTGCCCAAATTTTACACCTGGGCTGTAACAGGCATTGTGTGTTTCCTCTCCTTGGAGGTCTTTGTAACTCACAGCACATCTGGGTCAGGGTAATAAGGTGGGAGCACTGAGAAGGCGTGCCATAATGCAGCTGGGGGCCTTGGCTGAGTTGACTATCGTTGTTAAAACTTGCAACTCTCACAGGGTATAAAATGAGCCATCTCCAGAGCAGAGGGGCTGAAATCTCACCCCATCATCCAAGGTGGAGCCGTGATCCCTGAACACTGAAGCTCCTTAATCCAGGCAGAAGAAGCAAACACCAGAGCGCTGGGCCTCCCAGCCCCAAATGAGATGAGGGATTTTGGTCAAGCAAGTGTGTGCTCTGGGCATTTACCAGAAACACCAACTTTTATTAGTGCATCCTGGGTGAAAAGCCTGCCAGAGGGAGACCACCTTGCTGGCCCTCTCTAGCCTTGGTGGAAACCCCCACACCTGTGCTGGGGCCTCTGGACGTGGGCCTTGCTCTCAGGATCCTCACCAGCCTGGTCCTTGGGCATTTACGGGGCTCCTCCTTCCACCTGCATGGGCTTTAACCTCCACGCAGCTTCCCGACCCACACTCCCCAACAAGACGCGCATTTCAGAAAGCAGCCACTCGCGAGTTCCAAGCGCTGTTTACTGTTCGGCAGCGGAATGCCCGATGGACAGACAGAGGTTCCGGCGGGGCGAGGACCTAGTGCTGACGGATTCGGGAAGACATGATTCTGTAAATAAATACTTGACAAGACTGGTGGGGAGGGGGCGGGCAGCAGACGGCGTCTGGATTCTGGGGCCTGCATGATGGGGTACTCCCCGGCCGAAATTAACTGCGTGCACACCGGCGGTGGTGCCCACGGCTTGGCCGTGGTCACAGTGTGCTCCGGCAGCATGCGCCCTAGCCCCCCAGAGACACGATGTGGGCGGGACAGAGAGGAGTTCCTGAAGGTGGTGGTCCCTAGGGTGGGGTGAGCTCCCTTTGGCTCTCTGACCCCTGGCAGCTGCGCGGCCCCTAGATGACCTTCTTGAGCTCGTCGTAGAGGACCAGGACGAAGGCCCCGCCCATGCCACGCAGCACGTTGGACCAGGCGCCCTTGAAGAAGGCCTTGCCCCCCTCGTCCTTGAAGATCTTCCGCCAACAGTGTAGGGTCCCCGTGTACATAATGTCGGCTGTGGGAGGGGTGGAGGGGCCGGTCAGGATGGAGCATCCACAGGGGCAGCACCCAGGGAGGGAGGGCAGTAGGACCCCGGATGGGGAAAGGGGCCGCCCCCAGTCCACACCTCCACCCCAGCCACACCTCCCCGAGGCCACACCCCCATCCCAGCACGCACCTCCTTTACGCCCGGATTGCATCATCATGCGTCTGCGCACAGTGTCGAAGGGGTAGGAGACGACGCCAGCCACAGCGGTCACTGTCTGTGCAATCATCCAGCTGACCACGATGTGTGTGTTCTTAGGGTCGGGCAGCATGCCTGGGGGGGGAGGGCACCACAAACATCAGTCCCCTCCCACAGACCAGAGCTGACCACCCCAGGTGCCATGTGACCCGTGGCTCTCAGGAGCAGGGCGGGGCGCCTGGACAGCCCCACGGACGGTGGGTGGACAGACTGCAGGGTCCCCTCAGACACGCGTCATACAAAAGCAGGGGATGAGCGGGGTGGATGGATGGACAGACAGCCGAGCGATACATACACGTTGTGTAGATACAAAGCAGCCAGTAAGCGGTGTGTGCAGATGCACTAACCAGACAGACAGACAGACAGACAGACAGACAGACAGACAGGAGACGCACAGGGCTGGGGCTCCTGAGACAGCCGTGGGTAAACAGGTCGGACAGAGGGACAGACACAGAGCCAGGTGGGGAGGCCCCTGACCTTTGGCCGTGTCGTAGACGCCGAAGTAAGCAGCGCGGTAGATAATGATGCCCTGCACCGACACGTTGAAGCCCTGGTATAGACCGCGGATGCCGTCCGACTTGCTGATCTTCACCAGACAGTCTCCTAAACCCTTGAACTCGCGCTCGGTGCCGGACTTGCCGACATCGGCCGCCAGCCGGGTCCTGGCGAAATCCAGCGGGTAGACGAAGCACAGGGAGGTAGCGCCGGCCGCCCCGCCGGAGGCCAGGTTGCCGGCGAAGTAACGCCAGAACTGTGTGTGCTTGTCTACGCCGCCCAGGAACACCTGCTTATACTTGTCCTTGAAGGCGAAGTTGAGGGCCTGGGTGGGGAAGTAGCGGATGACGTTGGCCAGGTTCCCACGCCAGAAGGAGAGCATCCCCTGCTCCTTGGGGATCCGCACGATGCAGTCCATGATGCCCTTGTACTGCTGGTCGGCCGCGATCTGCTTGCTGGCATGCTGTACCTGCCAGGGGAGGGGGCATGGCGATTCAAGGGGCGCTCTCACCGCAGCGCCCACGCAGCCCAGTCCAAAGGCAAGCGTGTTTCCACGACTCTGGCCGACAAACCTGCTCAAGGCACTGGCCTGTGGGGAGCAGTATCAGACCACGCAATAAGCATGGCCTAAAACTATCACGTTTGCACAAGGCCATCGGTACCGATTCGGGAGAGTAAGCAGAGATTTCTGAGCAGGCCACACAACCATGCTCCTTCCTAGAGAATTACATCTATAACCTGCAGAACTGCACCCTGACCCCAGACTACACCTTGTCTTCTAAATACAGAAGAGTAACAACAAGTAAGCTTGTGCTTACCTTGCTGACCTGGTCCTCTCACACTGTTTATACGCACTGCAACCCAGAGCACCTGAAGCTTACTCACTGTGGCACAACACTTTGTCCTCGGCTGCTAACTGAACGGAAAGGCTGGAGGTGCTGCAGAAGAAATACCTGGTGATCCAGTTCCATACAGGACAACCCAGGAAAGCCTAAGGGTCAGGTCCACACTGTAACACGTGAGATGGCCAGGATGGACAAGACGACCTTCCTAAAATCAGTGTTACTAAAAGGTCTGGCTCCTGCCCGGATAGCTTTTAGATTCCTGCCCCTCAGGATCTATAAACCAAATGTCAGGGGAATTCCAACTCAGCAACCCCACAGGACACAGAACTGCCTGACAGGGTCCCCAAAGCTGAACATCTTTACAAAAGCAGAGTGGTGCAGATGAGCTCAACTTCAGGGAAATTCAGTCAGCAATCCTGTCTAGGGTTTTCAAGGACACTTCTTTTTAAATACGAGTGGGCTTAGAATCGGAGCTTGGTGGATTTCAAGAGCATAAATTTGCACTTAGTCATTTTGGGAGTGAATTCCATTTAGACAAATCACACCAGGCGCTGTTCAGCTCAGGGAGCACCCACGCCAAATGCGGGGCTATTCAAACCCCAAACTTTTCGTCTAGCAGCCAAAGCTTGTAACCAAACCTCCAAAAAAAATCACAGGCAACTGCTACGCATCAGACGTCGATTGTTAGCACTTGATCCATAGTAACTGCTTAAGAAATCTATCCCCAAACCAAGAAACACCTACTGCCTGCTAGTCTATTCTGACTCCTAGCAACCATGCAGGACAAAACACAAGTGCCCCACAAGCCGTCCAAGACTGTGAAAGTGCTGCAGAATCAGCCAGGTTGGCGGTTCAAACCCACCAGCCGTCCCAAGTAAACCCATAAAGGGTCACTATGAATTAGGACCAAGTCGAGGACGATAAACTACAAATCTTTATAGAACTGCCCCGTAGGGTTTTTCCAAGACTAAGTCTTCATGGAACTCCTGGTGTGAAATTGTAGGATCAGCACGGGAGTACTAACCAATCGCAAGGTCAGCGGCTCAAACCCACCAGCTGCTCCTCGAGAACCCTATATACATGGTCGTTATGAATTGAAATCCACCATACAGCATACAAGTCTTTATGGGAACGAACTACCTCATTTCCTGCGAAGTGCTCCACCAAAAACCGGTATCAAATCCACTGGCTCGGAATCCGACCCAGCAGTCAGCAGTGTACTGCTCAACCTGCCACACCACCAGGGCGCCCCCACAAGTGATGGTGAAAAACTGCGCCCCAAAAGCTTGTCGGGGACGGCTTTTCCAGCGTGGGTCGCCAGACATTTCTTCCGCAGTGCTTCCACATGGGAATTCACGTTTATCATAATGTCATTTACCAAAAGCCTGACTCTATCTAAAGCTTCTGTGTGTGGGGGGGGGTGAGCTGAATATCAAAGCCGCTCTGTTAGGGATGGGCGATCACAAGGTCGCCGCCAGCCTGTCCCAAAGCTAACACCAGTCCTGCGTCCTATGCCCCCAGCGCGCATGCGCACCGCCCGACTACTGACCACGCCCCCACGCATGCCGCAGTGTTCCACGTGACTCAAAAAGCTGCCCGCCCCCGGAAGACGCCGGCTTGCGGACAAAGCGGTCGAGGCCTGGCACTTCCGGCGCCGGTCCCGGTGCACGTGGCTGGTCCTGCGTGGCCCCCATGTCCCGCTCCAAGCACCGAGGCTACTCCGCCGCCTGTCACCTACCTGCAGCAGCAGCTTGACCCGCTCGATCGGGGCCACGGCCGTCTTGGAGATGGCGGCGGCGATGCCGCCCGCCAGGAAGTCCTTGGCGAATGAAATGGCCTGTTCCGTCATAGTGGTGGAGTGCACTGCGAAGCGGGCGGAGAGTTGGAGTGAACGCACTTGGGACGAGAGGGTGGGCGCCGCTGGCTCCTCCGCCGCCGCCGGGACCGAAAGGACGGGGCGGCCAGCGCGCAGCCGCTAAGACTCCAAGGCCACGCCCACGCCCACACCCGCCGCGCCTATTGGTCGCCGTTTCCACGACTCCCCGCCCCCACGCTGCGCTTCGCGCCCCCCACGGGATGCCAGGAGACGCCTCGCGCCCCCGCGCGCCGCGCACATTGGACCTACGGCCTCTACATCCCGCCCTTTCCTGCGCAAAGCCCTGCCTACTGCTTTGCAGCTGCCCCGAGGTGTGTCGGGAGCCGGGCGTGCCCATGCGCCGTGTGGGCCGGGGGGCTTCGGGAGGGCGGCAGTGACCTTCTGAAGGTTACACTGGGCCGCGGGGTTCAAGGGATTTGGGAGGCGTTACCGAAGCCTTCCCGCTTGGTCCGCGCTCCCGCAATCTTACCAGACCCACGCGCCCAAGTCAAGCCAGCCGGGGTCATTCGGGGTCAGGGCAGACGGAAGTAGAGGCTTAGCGCCCCTTCCTCCCCCTATATCGCCCCAGACCCGGATCACAGCTCCGCCCGGATGCGTCCCGCCTGGAAGCGCCCAGGGCCTAGGGGGACGTCGGGGACCTTGATGGAATGCCGATCCTGGAGGAATGGAATGATGGGGGACCGGGTGGAACCTACAGGGGTAGCTGATGAAGTTGCCCGGGGTGGGGGGGAGCTTTATGTGTGGCGCTTTGGGTTAATGCGCTAGACTGCAAAACTATTTGAACTGCAAGGTCGGAGGTTCAAGCTCACCAGGTGCTCCTCGGAAACTCTATACAGGGTCGCTATGGGTCGGAACCGACTCGACAGCACTTCACAACAACAAGGGGGGTACCTGATGGAGCCCGGGTGTCTTGATGAGACCTTGGGGGTTTCTGATGAAATCTGGGGGGCTTCATGGGACCCAAGGGGGTTTCTTTTGGAACCCAGGGCTGTCTGCTCTCTTCCCTGACCTGGTGCCACGGAGGGGGCTTTTTCCTCAGTTTCCCTGTGCTTGGCTTGGTGCTGATTTGGGGACTTGATCATGAGCTGCCTGTCTCCCACAAAGTCTGGTGGTCAGAAGGTGTTGAACTAGTATGATAGAAAGGTACAATGACTCGAATTTTCACAAACCGCAAACAGTCTTGGAAGAAAATAGCCTGAGCTACCAGACAGAATAGGACCCACCTGTGTGGCGAACAGATGCGGTCCCAGGGCTGCTAAGGAAAAAGTTGGAGATTAGAACCCACCATCCTAGGAGAAAGGGGCGGCAGTGTGCTTCCATAAAAATTTACAACCTTGGGAACCCTATGAGCTACTTCTACCTGTTCGATAGAGTTGCCATCAAGGTTGTTAAGTACTGTCCTGTCAGTTCCAACTCATAACGACCCTGTATAGGGTTTCTAAGGAATGACTTGTGACTTTGAACCTCTGACCTAGTGGTTCAAGCTGACCTTGTGGTCCAGCACTTTATCTCACAGCGCTACACCGGGACTCAACAGCACTGTGGTTGGTTGGATTTGGGGTGGTGCAAGGGGATAACACAGTTGCTTGTCAATCAAAAGATGGGAGATTCCAATCCACCCAGAGGCACCGCAGAAGAAAGGTCTGGCGATCTTTTTTCTGGAAAAGCAGACATTGACGGCAACTTTCAATTTTGCCTTTCTCCCTCTGTTTTTTTCTTTTCTTGTTGCTTTTCTTCTTTCCATCCCTCCTTCCTTTTTTGCCCTGTGCCCCCCAGGTGAAGAACAGTCCCAGGCTCTGAGTCAGTGAGAACTGGAGAGGGACACCCATCCACACACTTTCAGCCTTCCAAGATCACAGCCCTAAATGCCTTGAGACCTTTTGAGCATGTTATTATAGACCAATAACCTAAAATTACATAATCCTGTGACACCTACTCGAAAGGTCCTGAGGGGGAGGGGGGTGCAAATATTGGGCCGCTCAATTGCTGGCTGGAAGGAGGGTGGTCCCAGATTCTGAACCAATGGGTGGAAGGAGGGAAGCAAAGTCACAGTGTCCTCTGTGTCCTCTGTTGGCCTCTGCGGAGAGGCGGATCCCCAAGCTCCGCATTCCACAGGCCTTACCTGGGCTGCAGGTGGACTGTACCTGGAAGGCACGTGGGTGGCAGGAGGTCTGTCCACGGGGCCTGTCTGGGCTGGGACATACCCCCCAGTGGTCACTGCTGCCGGCCAAGGGAGGCTGGCCAAGGGCACGGCTCCACCCTGCTTTAAGTTCCATAGAATCGGTCCCACGTGGTCACGACAGGAGGGAGGAGAATGCCCCCTTCCCTCCTGGCGGGTGACCCCCGCAGCTCTACACTGCACCCCCATATCGCCGCGCATCAGACCTCACTAACCCCAGAAGATGCCCAGGCAGGGAGGGGCTCCCGAAACGCATAAAAGGGCCGCCTGGTCACTGCTGGCTGAGATTCCAGAGCTTTAGGTGAGTTGTGGGTGGGGGGAGGTTCAGGGATCAGCAAAAGAGAGCGAACACCCTGGGAAGAGATTGAAGGGTGGGGACCCAGGGGTGAACCCCCAAGACCTAGAGGCCCAACACTTAGATCCCTCAGCCTCAACCTGAAGACATGGATACACAATATCTAGGAACAGTGGGAACAGAGCCCTCTGTGCTCTGCAATATCTGGATTACGAAGTGTTGATGAAGAAGCCCCCAGTGGTTCTGAGGGTTCGGCACTGGACTGCTCACCTCAAGGTCTGAGGTTCAAACCCACCAGCTGCTCACAGGAAGATAAAGTAATGAAGCTGTCTGCTCCTATGAGGATTGAGCATGTCGGAAACCTGTGGGGCAGTTACACTCGATCCTAGAAGATCGCTTTGAGTAGAAATCAGTGATAGTGATGCCAGGTATTGTTGGATGCTACGGATATTCCAACTCTTACTAGTGCCATGGAGTCGATTCCAACCCATAGCGACCCTGTATAGGGTTTCTAAAGAGCAGCTGGTCAGCTTGAACCACCGACCTTGCAGTTCAAACGACTTTGCAGTCTGAAGCATTCGCCCACAGCGCCACACCGGGATTCCTTGTATTCATTAAGTGATGGTGCTTATGTGCCATGGAGTCGGTTCCGACTCACAACCCTGTACAGGGTTTCCGAGGCTGTAAATCTTTACGGGAGCAGAAAGCCTCATCTTTCTCCTGCAGAACAGCTGGGAGTTTCCAACTGCCGACCTTCAGGTTAGCAGCGTAATTCGTAACCACTGCGCTACCAGAGCTCCTTTTATAAACTTATACTCTTATAGATCATCCACTCACAGCGCCCCCTGGAGTAATGGAGGAGAACTGCCCCACAGAGTTTCCTAGGCTGTCATCTACTGTGTCACTATATACTCATACATACTCTTATAGATCATCCACTCACAGCGCCCCCTGGAGTAACAGAGTAGAACTGCCCCACAGGGTTTCCTAGACTGTCATCTACTGTGTCACTATATACTCATATATACTCTTATAGATCATCCACTCACAGCGCCCCCTGGTG